CTGCGTGCTTTGGCCATATAAAACTTTGATTCGATTTCCGTTGAACCCGTCTATTGCTCCGTTATGTGCATCCCAAGTATTTATTAATACATTTTATTAAACGATAAAACGGTTTATGGTGGAAACAAAACGTGTCCCGTCTAATCAAACATTTTATGAGCCACTCTTAAACGCCCCACCTGACTTTATATTTGTTTGTATTAAAAATGCATAAACCCATAACCACATAATTAGTTTTTATAAGCGGAGAGCTCGCACAGAGCTAATTTTGCATGTGCCGTGCCACAAATCCCATTTTCCAGCCCGAAATGTTGAACTATGCTTATTTTTATTTAAATAAAGGCCATAAATGTTTATACGGCACACACACCGTGCGTCTGAACTAACTTTATGGGCCTCATAAAAAGTGGAGCATGGATTGCCGATGGCATAACACCGTGTTTACCAGGGGGGAGCTATTTAGGAACTTGCCATTGGGAGCCGTCAAAACCATCGAAGAAAACTGTGGCCAGCATCAAATCGGATGAGTGATATGACAAATCCGCCGGCAAAACTAGTTTTTTGTTAGGTGAGATCTTATCGGGAACCGGGACTCGGGATCCGAGACCCAACTCAAGCCACAAATGAACTTGCCCAAAATCACTGGCCCTCGGTTTCTGATTTCATAAAAAATGATATGTCCAACAAAGTTATAAAATCAGCACGCGTAGCCAAACCGTTTAAAATCAAATGCCATCTCCAGCAGCTCCATCATCGGATTCGAATACGAATTCGGCTGAACATGAAGCTTGAGACTCCCCCACAGAGAAATTTATTAAGTGGCCGATAAGCATCTAGGGGCCAAGCAAGCGAACCGACTTGACCATTGATTGATATGGCAGATATATGTATATACAAACATCGATGCGCATAGACATTGCTCAGATACAGGCGATTGGTTATGGGCTCTTAATGGCAAAGCTGGACTTACATGTCTGCGGTCCGGGTCATTGGTTTTGCCGGGACTAATAATAGAGGTTAACTAAGCTAATGAAAATGGCTTTCGAAAGTTTAAATACTAAATATGAGCGCAGTTAACTGGGAAATTTTATTGTCTTTTTGGTGGAGCGAAGCGGAAACGACTGAAGTTTTTACGACCAGGGAATGACGCGTTCTTATCTAAGAACTTAGCTTCAACTTAAAAATAGGTGATGGCCGTGACTTAAAAAATTTGGTGCTGGACCTTTGTAAAATCTTGGCTTTAATCTACTTTAGAAAAACGCTAGCTGAACCATTTTAGGTGCAAAAGTACCACACATATGTGTAATTAAAGGGGATTACATTCCCCTATTTTGCACATTATACATGTTAATTTCATATATTAGTCATCATCTCGTGCATAAATTCCCTTCACTTTCTATCAAACTGTCTTTCATTTGCCGTGAACCTTGACTGCAGACTTGAGCAATGTGGAACAATTAATATTCCCCAACTCTCTGCCTTGGAATTTCGTATATCAGCAATGATATCTAAGACCCGCATAATACCAGACTATTTCGACTGATTTGGCTTACGGAGCAGCTGCAATTAATTAAATCACTTCACCTTGATCAGCAAATGAAGCAGTTTTGTTGTGCTGCTATCTACGCACATATCTAATTTAGTATAATGTGCATTATATTCGCTTATTTTAGTTAAACACGCCGAAATGCAAGATATTTGTTTGCCCTTACACTGGGACAAAATACACCTGCCCTGCTTTAAAAGACCCCTCCCTTTTCCCTATCATCGAACTTGGCAGCCTCATTTGTGAGTCAAAGTTGGGAAAATGTTTGAGTTTAACAGGCCCGCTGGATGATTTTGATGATGATGGTGATGGGGAGGCACTGATAAGAGCGCTCGTAATGAGCAAACATTTTAGTATTGAAATTTTAATTAGCTATTGCGCAATAAAAATAAAAAACGGTCTGAAAAGGAAAACCAGAAATTATGAAAATTTCAGTTCAGTTTGGGTTTTTTATTAAAATTTATGCCCGGTGACAGTTGAACCCCCTTTCATGGGGGAAATTAACCAAAAGCTTGGCCATAAAATGCATTAACTCTGGATGCAGCGGACTGCATAGAATTTTTCCATATTTTACGATTGCGTTTTTTATTGTCTCAACTTTAAGGGATCTCAAAGTAGAGCCGTTGATTGCACGGACCATGCAGGTTGGCATTTTATTAATGAGATTAATCAATTTCGGTTTTCTTCATTATGACCATGGTTGTTGGCAGAGTTCTGGGTGCCCCATTTCGCCCTTTTTCTGTTCTTTTTTTTTTGTTTAGGTTGTCCTCCAGTGCGGAGTGTATCTGGTATCTGATGGCGTTTTTTACGATGCCTCTCGGTCTCGGATCTTGATATTTATGTGGGAGTCTTTGGCATCGAGGCGGTGCGGTGCGGTGCGGAGTTTTCAGTTGACGGCTTTTTACGATCTGTCAACGCAGGCCAACGTGTAGAATATATGAGCTCAATTGTCTTTTTTACGACTGCAGCTCATTTGCTTAGCACCCCGCCCACTTTCCCTTAACCCCTGGCGTCTGTGGCGCGGTCTGTCAACAGTTTACACAAAAACAGCCAGCAAAGGGAGCATTTTATGTGCACTACAAAATGTATGAAATGTACTGCTAATAGCAACCGACCTGGTCTCCAGGGTCCTGATATGTAGGCCCTCCATCCAACGCAAGGTGCAAACAACTAAAAAGGTACTGAACTTAGCCCAGGTTTTACGACTCGCATTGCCAGCATGCATCGGCATCTAGGGGTTAAGACTGCCACTTCGATGGAGGAAGCGAAAGTAAATGTTTGACAGTTTATGGCCCTGGCCCAGGAACTCTATTAGCCAACAGATTTGAACGCACATATGGCCCTTAAAGGGTCTAAGGCCACCACTGAAATTACCCCTTCCGGCATGTTTTCTAAATATATAAAAGAGGTGGCAAAAAGTGGCATTATAGTATAATACATATTATATTTCAGCTATTAATATGTGATTTAGGGCTTACAATGGCACCTAGAGAATTTCTTGAAAATTTTAATTTTTCTTCTAATTGTGGGGGTTGGACAAATAAGCCAATGGAGCGCAAAATTCCACAATGCTCTGTTAAATTTGTTTTGCATCTGTACAAGATATTTGTTTACCTATCGGACTTACACAAACGGCAAAAATGGCATTCCTCAGTCTATTGTTGCCAAACTCATGAATCACTTCTCGACCACAAAAAAAACTACAACCGAAATACTACCACAGATGCAATATAGCCATAATTTCTTGCAATTTCCGAGCCATTGTTTTGGCTGATCGGCCGTAAAACCAAAACAAAAACTCTGTGGGCCATTTGCGAAGAGCTCAGAAGGCTGTGCACCTTTCTTCTGGTAGCCAGACAATTCACACAAGAAATGGGCAATTAAATTCTGGGAATTATCGGAACGAGACAAGCGACAAGCCACAAAAGCGCAGCGGTAGGAGGAAATCGCCGCTCATAAGTAGTTTGAATCAATGCAACAAAGGTCACTGAAATGAAATAAAATAAGGAAAAAAAAAAAACGGCAAAATAAACAATGAGGCAGGCTCAAAAGATGAAGCAGGTAGCCGCCGTAGGAGGCTGAGAATGAGTTTGATGCCTCATCATGGCCATCAGGTGGCATGACAATTAAAATTAGGTAACACGGTGAAAATTGGAAAGTTGCCGCCTCCGAGAACTTTGAACCGCCGCCGATCTGATCCGGATCTGTTCCACTGATCCAGAGACCGCCTTTGATGGTCGCCGACCCAAGCGACCTGAGTTGTTAGCGCTGATGAAGTAATTCAGTAATTTGGTCCAGCCGGCCATTTAACTAAATATTTTGATTAAAGCCGGCCGTCGCTGGCTTTAAGCCAAGTCAGCGGACATCAGAAAATCAATAGACTTCCGCTGCCGCCGCTTTATTTAAATGGCAAGTTCACGCCCAAGTTCTCCACTCGTTTCTGTATTTTGTATGCCGCTGTCTGGCCTGTCCATTAAAAGCAAATTCCTCAAAACTTGGCTGTCAGCAGCAAACAATGTCAACATTGCCCGGAACATGGGTTCGGGGCAGGATGGATCCAAGCCATCGAGGGTCGCTTCTCGTCCTGGCTCAGAGCGCTGGTCACCCCTTGGAGCTGAAGAGGGCGAAATATTCATGCGAAAATTTGTTAACTTTTTCTTGGGGCCAGGCGGGAAACACACAAAAGGGCTAAGCCATACAATTTGGGGCCATCTATCGCTGTCGCTTCCTACTCCTTTTTTATTCATGAGCACACAAAAATAATACAAATGAAAATAATAAAAATACAAATTGAAAGGAAAACAAAACACTTTTTCTGTGACCCGGCGTTTGGGACTTTCTCTGTCTGTCTCCTTCTGTGTGGGTGCTTGTGGGTGTGTGGGTGTGTGCGTGTGGCAAATAAAAATAAATATATTATTTTACACGATGCCAAGACGCGCGCCAGACGCTGCTGCACAAATCTAATTCAAATTCAGCTGAAGAAGTGGCAAAATAATGTGCGAGCAGGGCGTGCAGCAAAGTGGGTGGAATGCGAATCCTTTTTTCGTCCTGCGGGCGGTCCGTGACGACCATAAAAAGGCAGGAAAAAGGCGACGCCGGCACAGGCCGCCCATTTGTTGTAGCCCCCACCGCTCCCCGGAAAAGCTCGGAAAAGCTGCCACCCCTTTGGAATAACTCACTCATATATGCCATCTAACGATTGCAGAGTGAAACCAATACGTGTCGCTGGGTGTAAGATACATTAACATATTTGTTTTGTCTGTACTGTCTTTTTCTAAAACATATCCACTCTCTCTTTCGTTCACGTGGAGTCTTAAAGTGTACTAGAAGTTATGGTGACAATGGATAAGTATAAACTGGGTACTGATATTTATGGTTAAATGATCGAATGCAAAAGCACTTTGTAAGCTGTGTAATAACATTTAAATTTTAGCGATGTCCAAACTCATATACAAACTTTTCTGTTTCCTAAGAAGTGTACTTATACATCCATAATTGTGCAATTTTGATAACGAAGATTTCTTAAACTCACAGTAGTTGACTAACGCCAGCTAGTTCTTAAGTCCAATAAATCACACAATAAATGCACCACTTTCTCGGCTTAACAAGTTCTGCTCCGCCTTTGTTTAGGGTATTTGCTTTTCCAATCCAATTTATTCTATATATAACGAATCGTTTAATGAATTCCATATTTCGCTTTGCCAGGGAATTCCCCCCTTTGGGAGATTCTAACAAGCTCTGGCAGCTGTCCCGCAGTTTTCTCGCCCGGCAAGGAGCCCCATCCTCCCATCCTCCTCCATCCCCCTGGCTTTTCCAACCGAGCACTCGTTCCGTTCCGCCCGTATCCACTTAGACAGCTCAGGCATAAAAAACATATGTTGCCTTTGGTCCTTTTACTCCTTCTGCTGCCGTGTCCTTGGAGTCGCCCACTGCGGCCACCCAGCGCCGCCCAGAAACTCGGTTGGTTGTGCTTTTTCCAACAATTGGTTTTTAGGTGGCAGTCGAGCACATTTTAAGTGGTAATCATTTACGCTTCGCAAATAAATACCGAGTTTGTGATTTGAATTTTCCTGCCATTTCCATTTTCCTCGCTCGCTGCCAGATTCTGTTTGTGTTTTATTTTCATTTGGAGCCATCCCTTCTCCGTTTGTTCTTGTTCTGTATCGCTGTTTTCGGCTTTTCTTTTCGTTTTATTTCACAGCTTTCATTTTTGTGGGCCGCCCTTGTCATAAAAACGGCGACCGTGGGACATTGTAAATTTTAAAGGTTAACCCTTTTCGCTTCACTTTTATGGAAGAAGCCCAAGTCCGCTGGGATTAGGTTCTCCAGCTCGGCTGCACTTTAAGCAAATCCCTGCCCCAAAACTTATTATTGATCATCGGTTGTTAAGAGCTGGAACTGGTTTTCCAATTACCCTCGGCCGGCACTCATTAACCCATTAAGTCCAGCCTATTAAGTTAACCTGGAGTACTTTCCTTGCATCTGGTTTAAAAGTAAAAAGCCGAAGACAAATGAAAGTTTCCATTGTTCGGAAAATGGCTCCAAAGAACCTTAGATCTAACCAAAACTGAGCAACCGCAGATGCTGACTGATTTTTAGATCTGCGTCTGGAATTCTGGCTCTGTTAATGATCTACACGCTACTCTCCAAAGAAAAGCATTACACTGGCCAAATATCTTCAGAATGTTGATACACAGAGTTTTTGATATAAATACTGAACCGATTTGGGCATCACTTTTGCTGGAGTCCCAGCATTTAAGCCGCTTTTGAAAAGTTAATTGACCTACTTTTTCTCGCTGTGTAACGTGAGGGTGACCAAACCTGATCTTTGAGTAACGCGATCAGGTGCGAACAAAATTATCAGCCCATGGGCTCAGCGAAGAGGCAAATAAAAAAGGGAATATAAAAAACCAGAAGAAATCAAAACTCGCCGCGAAGTTAATTATAATTGCCTGGGCAAAAACACAAAGCAGGGGAAAAAATAAATAAATAAAGGTTGTTGCCTGGTTGACTTGAAATCCGTGGGCTGGTTCGGAGGAAGGGGGCGGGGCTGGTCGGTGGTTTTATTATTGATTCGGCGCTCGGATTTTTATTTTTGAAGTGTGCGTGCGCCGGCATCCTAAATTATTTTCCATTTGAGGCACGTCGCCGGGCCTAACTATATGAAATATCATTCGATGGGCCCCTGAATGGGAATGCCTTTTCATAATTATATTTAATTTCAAGGTTGCGCCTCGGCGGAAGACAGCAAATAATTGTCGGAGATAATCGGCGAGCTGTCGCGGCTGCTTAGCGCCTTGTCAGAAGAATTAGCCGGCAGCAATACGAGGAATAATACGAAATACTCGTAATAACAAAAAATATATATAAAAAATAAAATCCAGATACCAGCTGCTGAATACATTTGAGTGGGTGTAATTATGACAATTGAGACCAATCCGACGGTCGACCAATGGAATGGACTGGGAATTAGCTCAATTGCAGTTCTCGAATGTGTGAATGGAGATTGGAGAACAATCAATGGCTAATGGACTTGATATTGGAGAGCGACGGCTGTATTGGGGTTTGTGGCACGATTAAGTGAAATTGATATTTATAGATGCAGATGCAAATCTGCCTTTGCATTGAATCTGGGTTGATATCCGAGTGCAAAAAGTGGGCAAAATGATAGTTGCTGCTGTTGACCAGCCAATGATTACTTTTTCGCTTGGCAAAATACAATTTGATTGTAGTGGATCATATTTTGCCATTTAATTGGTCTAGCTTAGCTACTTTTAATTGGCCATCTTAGATTCCAGCAATGAAACATCCCCTGGATTAATTGTTGCACCTATTACTCAACTGTCCTGCTGTAGGAAGTCCACAAATCAATTACCAATAAAAATGCAAGCAAACCAGGTCAATGGGTCTGGATGTCGGTGTCTGTGTCTGTGTAGGAAGTTCTCAAATTAAGCCATACAATTCGAAGAAACGACTGCCCAGCTGGCAATAAAACACCGTCTTCAGTGTGAATTGAGCAGAGTGCTTTCTTCACAATAATAGAGGAAACATTTCGCCCGACATCTGTTTGTTTGACATATCAATTTCCCGAAGCGTGTAAACATATCAAATCGATCGCACAACTTGTCATGCCCAAAACAGATCGAATGGAGCCGGGAACTGAGGCCAATCTCTGGATGTCGGACACTAAATGAAATTGTAAACACACCAAACAAAACTGTGACTCTGGGCCTTCGACTGTGACGTATTGCGCTGAATGTTCAATGTTCAATGGAAATTAACACGAAATCGAATCGAACAGCAAACAATCCGAGTGAACGGCCCAGAACCAAAACGTATTCGAAGCAGCTCAATTTGATTTTCGAGTTGTTGCCAGAAAAGGCCGGCTTGTTGTTGGGCTTTCAACGCCTGCGCAAAAGTCAAGCGCTACAAGAGTCATAAATTGAACTACAACATGCCGAACAACAATACCACAAAATGAAAATCAACAACACGAACACTTTTGTCGTGCATTTTGCGCCACACCCAGCAAACAATTTAGTCAATATAGTCGGGGAAAATACAGATATGCATCAACTGGCGGGGTTCGTTGGTCTGTCTTTCTATGCTAAACAGCCTGCAGTCGAGTCGCTTTAACTTATTGAATTTCACACGCAAAATGGAGTACGATAAGCTCCGGCTCTGCTCCCGCCTCCAGCAAGGTGATCTTGGAGCCCCACCTATGTACATATGTAAGTCACTTTCGTGCCCCAGACCACGAACTCTGTGGGGTTAGTCATGTGACTGGGGCCATGAGATCAGATCACTCAGAACACAACCTTCAACGCCGGCTCCAGCTGGGATCTAATGTGTTCGCCGCTGATTTGTGGCAGATATATGAGTGCTTAGACACGGAACACTGATTGTGAACCGAATGTTCTTAGCTCGAAGTAAAGCCTTTGTAACTTTGTAAGGTGCCAGCTCTATTTTCATGGTCAACAATTATTTATTCATAACTGACCATTAATAGGCGGTAAAATGTCCTTTACGCTCAAAATGTAAGACCTTTGTAGAATAAACTGTTAACTGAATGCTTATAATTCCCAAGCAATTGTTCGGCGAATCTCCTGCTGCGTGTACTGACTCTGCCTGACCCATGGTCACTTTGTTTTGCCATAAAGGCTGCCAATTGAACTCTATAAATGCAGTGCAATACGGGTGAAAAAGTGAATTATTAATTTCTGGCCCAGCACCTGTTCGCCTATGATCGATATCCGAGCCCGTGCTGGCTGTCATCGATTGCCAGATGCTGACGCAAATATTTATCAGCTGCAGCAGTGCTGCACTGACCCATAAAAGCTGCATAAATATTCATTGCTAGGCGCCGGGTCCCAGAGCAGCATTTACAATAAAATGCAAATGTATCAATTAAAGTGTGTTTTATTTTGTCAACAGCCCGGGATTCCGATGGCACTGCTATTGGCGGCACTGGTACGCATTATAGGACGTATATAGGGTGGTGGGGGCAGAAAGACAGTGGTGCACTAGAGACGCCACTTGGATTGGCGGAGTACGACGACGTCGAGTGGTGGTCGTATCTCTGGTTGTTGACCTCGCACAATGGGGGAAACTCGCACCACATACAACCACATGGCAGCACATGGAACATGGAGCATAGAGCGTGTGCACCATTATGCGACAACGAAGCGTAGTTTCACTTACAATTAAATGACGAGGTCGCTGTCGATGACGACAATTGTCCGCCACAAAGCAACGGGACATCAATAAAGCTGAAGACCTCCTCCACAAAGGCCAGCACTCAATAACCAACCCATGTGAGTAGTTCGCTTCAGTTTGCCCGGTCAATGTGCCAGTTGCCCGCATTCGAGCAATCAGAAACCGAAAGGAACCCTCGGGTGCAAGCTGCAAGCTGATAGTTGCAACATATAATTGAGTCATTACGTACTATAGTATCCCCCGATTTGCATAAAACAAACGCAGCTCGTCCAATTATCGCCCAGCGCCACACGTGCATTCCATATGCCGCACAGGGCTCAAGAAATCAAAACGATGTGGGACTTTTTATACCCGTTACTCGTAGAGTAAGAGGGTATACTAGATTCGTTGAAAAGTATGCACAAAAACAGGCAGAAGGAAGCGTTTCCGACCATATAAATATATATATTCTTGATCAGGATCAATAGCCGAGTCGATCTGGCCATGTCCCTCTGTCTGTCCGTATGAACTACAAAGCAGAAGTTCTATACTCCATAACTCAACTTATCTTAATCGGATTTTGAAGTGGCATACCTCTAAATGTTTCTGGCGCAATTCTCTAAAAATCTGCATTCAAATTTGAAAATTTATTTTTTTTCAATTTTTTTGTAAATTGTTTGGTATTATGATGTACAAATTCAAACAAATTAAAAAGTGTCCTATTGCTGAAGTTCTATACTCCATAACTCCACTTATCTTAATCGGATTTTGAAGTGGCATACCTCTAAATGTTTCTGGCGCAATTCTCTAAAAATCTGCATTCAAATTTCAAAATTTATTTTTTTTCAATTTTTTTGTAAATATTTTGATGTGATGATGTCGACAAATTCAAACAAATAAAAAAGTGTCCTAAGGCTGATGTTAAATACTCCATAACTCAACGTATCTTAATCGGATTTTGAAGTGGCATACCTCTAAATGTTTCTGGCGCAATTCTCTAAAAATCTGCATTCAAATTTGAAAATTTATTTTTTTTCAATTTTTTTGTAAATTTTTTGGTATTATGATGTACAAATTCAAACAAATTAAAAAGTGTCCTATTGCTGAAGTTCTATACTCCATAACTCCACTTATCTTAATCGGATTTTGAAGTGGCATACCTCTAAATGTTTCTGGCGCAATTCTCTAAAAATCTGCATTCAAATTTCAAAATTTATTTTTTTTCAATTTTTTTGTAAATATTTTGATGTGATGATGTCGACAAATTCAAACAAATAAAAAAGTGTCCTAAGGCTGATGTTAAATACTCCATAACTCAACGTATCTTAATCGGATTTTGAAGTGGCCTACCCCCAAATGTTTGTGGCGCAATTCTCCAAAAATCTGCAAATCTCAAATTTAGAAATTTTTTTAAATTTAAAAAACCTTTTGGTTTCAAGTAAAGCTGTCAGTGTGCAATTGAAAACTAAATATCACAAAGCCATAATTGCTTGTGCTTAAAACTTAAATATCAAGCGTCAGATATATTATCAAAGATAGATTTAAGCTGACCCACATTGCGTGCATTTTTTCAGGTTTTGTAACCAAGTCCCTCTTGGCATCGCCGCTTCTCCGTAATTCCACTTTTCTGATTGACAGTGCGGTTTCCGGCCCTCTCCACTGGCTGCTCACCACTACAACTGGCTGCTTTGCTTTGCTGCACACCAAAAATTTATGTTTATTGGCGTTTGTCAACAATTTATTTAAATTTATTGTGACAGCGTTTTTTGTGTTGCATCGCCGTCGTGTTCCCTTGTTTGCTGCAGGTTCCGCTCCGATCTTGATGTATTAATCGAGGGGACAGGGGAGCGTTAATCATCTGCAGATGATAGATGCCTTGTTCGGCCAAC